AGCTCCCTCTGCTCACGTCAGTATCAGCCTCTTCCAAGGAGACCCTGGTAGGCACTGCCCATGGTCCCTGTGACACCCACCTAGACCCCATTGTGCAGACCTCGGTTTGGATTTCTCTGAGCTTTGGCACCAGACCTTTTGGGACCCGTTTTCCTAGATGGAGGTGTGCAGGCCTGAGTGGGGCTGACCTGTCCCTGGGCTGGGGCCGCCTCCCCAGGACCCAAGATGGGAGGTGGAGTGGACAGAGGAGGGCCAGGTGTGCCTCAGCTCCCAGCCCCATGCCCCACTCTATGGCAGCCCCCAGGTGGCCCTGGAGTGGACGCTTGCAGAGCCAGCAGTGCCATGCAGAGGGACAGTGACTTTCCAGGGGAGGGAGGGGCAGGGCAGGTGTGGGTAGTGCTTAGGGTCGTCCACCCTGGGCATTGGGCTGGTACCTGCCTGGGGCTTACCTTGTGCCCAGCACAGTGGCCTTTCCTCTGAGGTCACTGCTCCATCCTGGGCTGTGGGCCTCCAGTGCTTGTGAAGTCTGGGTGACAGTCCCCTTGGGCCCAGGGGTGGGATAATGCGGGGCCTCAGCTGAGCAGGCCTCAATTCCCCACCATTGGAGGGGTGGCGAGTGACCTGTGTGTCTGACCCTCGGCCTCAGTGGATGGGCAGGTGGCCCTCGGGCACATGTGGTGCAGGCTGCTCATGGCCCCGCTGTGTTGTCTGTTCTGTGTCCAGTGGAGCGGTGCATGAGTGCCATGCAGGAGGGGACGCAGATGGTGAAGCTCCGCGGCAGTTCCAAGGGCCTGGCCCGCTTCTACTACCTGGATGAGCATCGCTCCTGCCTGCGCTGGAGGCCCTCACGCAAAAACGAGAAGGCCAAGAGTGAGTGACCCATGGGGCTCCCTATTGCTCTGGGCTAGGGTGGGAGGGCCGGGCCCTTGCCCAGTTGCCCACCTGGCAGGTCCCTGGTCTCCAGGACAGCTGGGTGGCCCTGGTCCAGATGCTGGGGTGGGGATTGAGAACCCCAAACAGAGAGACCCCAGCTGGCACACTGAGTTGGGGCCTGGGTGCCGAGTGTTGGCCCAGACAGCCATGGGGGACGCCAAGGGTCTGTAGGGCACTGAGCTGGACGGCACTGGGCAGGGGCAGATGAGCAGGATTGGGGCACACAGGGGGATCTGCAGCAGGGACAAACTAATGAAATATTGGCAGGCTGGGATAAGGACACTTCTGGTACCTTCTGGCTGTGCCTGTGGACAGGACTGGCTGGCTGAAGCAGGGCCCCAGCTCTGCAGTTGCCAAAGGCAATGCCACAGACCCAGGAGTGAGCCCTGTTGCAGAGCCCAGGAGGGCCATGGGAGAAGGGACCCACGGCGGGTACACTGGATGGGGCACAGCTTGCTGGATGGCATTGGCTCACCTGTCCCTCAGGGTGCATCCCTGGGCTGGGGAGAGGCGGAGGAGCCCCAGTGCCCAGTCTGGGGCATCTGCTCTGGACTGAGCATCCCATGGGAACTCTGCTGCAGAGCTGGCATTCCACAGGTGACATGGACCACTGCCTGATGTGCTGTACCATGCTGCACGTGGAGGTCCAGAAGGGCATGGGGCCAGGGTCCTGCCACCCACTGAGACCCAGTTTGGTGCCAGGACCCCACCTGGCCTTGGGGGTGTCCTGTAGGGCAGGAACAGCATGGGGTGGCTGTTGTCTGGACCAGGTCTTGGATCCGTGTCCTCCACTGCCACATGTGCCAGGGAGCCAGAGTAAGGCTGACTGGGAGGGGTGCTGGGGTCCTGTCCATGCTGAGCTTGGAGAAGATGCTGGCCCCATATCCTGCACACTGGGGAGGAGTTACAGAAACATGATCGCAGCACCTCGAGCTCATCCATTTCTGGAGTTAGCTTTCAAGGGGAGGCAGCTCCCACTCCCACTGTGCCAGGCTCACCCTGAAGGTGCTGCGGGATCCCTTCATCTGGGTGGCCGCTGCCTTTGGTGGAGTGGAAATGTGTGGGCTGGAGCCTGGGGGTGGGAGTGGCTGTCAGTGCCTCGTGCAGGGATCCATACACATGGAGTCCGGAGCCGGCCCGGGCGATCCACAGGCCATCCCCCTCCCCTTGGGGGTACACTGGACCCAGAGGGACAGAACAACCAGGCGCGGGGCCCTCAGTAGTTCGGAGGCAGATACACTGTCCCATCCTGGGACTCTGGGCTGCCTGGGGGGCGCTGGCCATGTGAGACTGACTCACTGCCCCCGCGGCCCGCAGTCTCCATCGACTCCATCCAGGAGGTGAGTGAGGGGCGGCAGTCTGAGATATTCCAGCGCTACCCTGATGGCAGCTTTGACCCCAACTGCTGCTTTAGCATCTACCATGGCAGCCACCGCGAGTCGCTGGACCTGGTCTCGCCCAGCGGGGACGAGGCTCGGACCTGGGTCACCGGCCTGCGCTACCTCTTAGCTGGCATCAGCGACGAGGACAGCTTGGCCCGCCGTCAGCGCACCCGGGACCAATATCCTTGGGCACCAGGGGTGGGGCCCAGTCCTCCCAAGGGCTCAGCTGGGGACGGCAGATGGGGCGGGCCAGGCGTGGACTGGTGTGGGCCCTAACTCAGCCCCAAAGTGGCTGAAGCAGACATTCGACGAGGCCGACAAGAACGGGGACGGCAGCCTGAACATCAGCGAGGTCCTGCAGCTGCTGCACAAGCTCAACGTGAACCTGCCCCGGCAGCGCGTGAAGCAGATGTTCAGGGTGAGCACGGGTGTGGCCAGCTGCTGGTCCACAGCAGGGGGAGGGGGCGGCAGCCTGGCCGTCTGTTCTGAGGGGGTGGCAGGGACCTGGGTGCTGCATCTGGGCAGCTGAGCCAAGGACTCTTCCACTGGCTCCAGGGCAGGAGCCAAGCACAGGTCCTCCTGACCCCCACCCCACGCTCTTGGCACAGGCTCCTGTGCCGGGCAGGACTGTGCCGGAGGCCACTGTCATCAGCCACCCCGGTGTTCAAAGTTATAAAAATGTGTCCTTCAGCCCCGCCGCAGCCTTTATTGTCTGTAATTAGTTCTCTCCTTCCAGAAACACTGTGGAGGAGAACAGGGCTGCCATCAGCAGGGCTTGCTCTGGGGCGGGAGTGGGCTGAGCAAGCAGTCCCAGCCCTTGGGCCTCCTTGCTGGGCTGTGCCCTGGCAGGGGTTCTGTGAGCAGAGCACAGGACAGCCACTGACATACACGTGTGCACGGGCACACACTCCTGCCGACCCCTCTGCTTTCTATGTCTGCCAGCTCCTATCTGCATTCCCAGCTGGAAAGAAGGCAGCTGGGGGCATTGTGGGTCTAGGATGAGGTGGGGCACGGGCACCTCAGGTGGTTACACAGCCCACAAGGGCCCTGGTGGGGACAGAGTCTGGAGCAGGGGTAGCAGCGGCTAGTGTCTGACTTTAGACACCCGCCCCCCGCCTGCCTGTGGCTGGCTGCCCCCAGCCCTTTGTACCTACAGAGCACTTCTGGGCTCAGCAGACCCTTCCTTGGGGTGAGGCTGCTCCAGGGACCCAGCAGCTGGCACAGGACATAGGGCTGGAGGAGCCCTGGGGGCGGAGGGTGGCTGCCTCGTGGGGTAGGAGCATGAGCTTAGTAGCTCAGCTGGACAGGCCCTGGGCGGCTGTCACCTGACCCAATGGCCCAGGTCCTGCTGTGCAGCCCAAGTCCACTGTGAGTGGCTCCAGCCAGCTCAGACCTCCCCAGTTGGCGTGGAAGTGACTACAGTGGAATCTTGATGCCGCTCGTGGTGGCCTGGAGCTCCTAATCAGAGCACAGAGCTGCGTGGGAGTGGAGCAGCTTCAACATAATCTCATTAAATCTGAGATAACGCAGAACGTGGGACACCTCTGGCCTCTGAGGCTGGCTGAACAGAGGGCTCAGAGAGGCTGCTGTGTGCGAGGCCAGGAGTGCTCAGGGGGCCCCGTCTCCATGCACCTTCTTTACCTCAGCTGAGGCACAGGCGGAGGCCCTGCCCTGGGCTCTGGCTGGTGCTGCCCAGAGGAAGGGCTTAGTCTCTGGAGAGGGACCGGCAGGTGCCCTTGTCACCAGGGCCCAGTTGTCCTAGGACGGTGGTCAGCTCCTGGCTCAAGGCTGCCCTCCAGTCTCAAGTCAGACACACTGTGGCCCTGCTGGTTTTGCTGAGCCCTGCGTGTGGCTCTGGGCCATTCCAGCCATCACAGGGGTGCACCGTGTGGGCACTGAGCCTGCTGCTTGCCGCTCCAGGCCAGGCCTCTGCCCTGAGGCCCTGTGGTTGAGGATGTGCCCTGGAAGTTCTGCTGGCACGTCCTGTGGACACTGCAGATTGTAGCCACGTAGGGAAGGGGCTGATGCGTGGCTGTCATGTCCAGCAGGTGACACTGTCTCTGGCATTGGCTTGTCTCCATCCCTCTTGGTTGTGGCAGCTCTGGGCCATCCTGCTCCCCAGCACCAAGCTGGGCTCTTCCTGGCCTCCCTGGGAGGCCCCGCAGTGGCTGCTGAAAGCCTGTTGCTCCTGAGGCCCTGCTGTGGGGCTGGGAAGAGGACCTCAGGTTCTGAGAACCATTTTCCATTTTGTGGGCATGGAAACAGCAGTACTGTGGACTGAGGACTCAGGCAGTGTCTGGACTACACCTGGGTGGGGGGGACAAGACAGGAGACAGGACCTGCCCTTAAGGTGTGGGGTCAGTAGAGTGTGAAGTCTGGGGTGGGAAGCTGAGCTTCACTAAGCTACAGTAGGGTCCCCAGCAGCCCTGCAAGGCCCTGAGCCCCAGGCAGGTGTGTCCAGCGGTCAGGGTCTTGGCCCATGTCCTGAGAAGTGCCATTCTGCAAGGTGCAGGGCCCCCGTTGGGGTGCCAAGCCAGAAGCCCAATTCTGCAGTCAGGTGTTGATGACCCTGTCCCACGCAGCCAGCCCTGGCCTGCCTCCCTCATTGGGGCTCACAGGCTGCTCTGACCATGCCCAGAGACCTAGGTCCTTGGACTGCCCACCTCCAGCCATGGGTGCCCTGTGCCCCAGCTATCCCAGAGCTGGGACCTCTGCATCCTCAGGGGGTGGGATGGCAGCACATTCCCCCTACGCCCAGGAGGAGGGAGGAGCCTGTGTTCTCAGGTCTCCCTGCTGGGGCAGCTTCTTGAGTCCCTGGTGAATGAGGGAGCCCCTGAGAGTTCCTGGGGCTGCCCGTGGGCCTTCTCTGCAAAATGAGGGCAGTGGCCTTGACCCCTCAACCTGCAGGGGTACCTGAGCCCAGATTGCTGGGCTCACTGTGGACTCGGGGGCCCAGGCAGGAGCCGGTGTGCTATGGGTATTGGCATGGGATGGATGCTGCTGGCTCTGGTAGGTGACATTGGTGTCCTACCTTGCAGAGAGCATGGAGGGTGGGTCGTACCGGGCTTTGCAGTTGCCCAGTGCCTGAGTGACACAGGCCATCGGGTGTCCACCAGCATCTGTGGTGGTATGGGCTTTGGCGGAGGAAGGAGGCTGGCTGGCTGGTGACGTTCTGGACCGAGGACCTGCTGGTGACCTGAGGCCTCATGTTGCAGGAGGCAGACACGGATGACCGGCAGGGGATGCTGGGCTTCGAGGAGTTCTGTGCCTTCTACAAGATGATGTCCACACGCCGGGACCTCTACCTGCTGCTGCTCACCTACAGCAACCACAAGGACTACCTGGACGCGGCTGACCTGCAGCGCTTCCTGGAGGTGGAGCAGAAGGTGAGGCCGCAGGGCAGCCCAGGGCTGGCGACGAGGGAGTCTTGGTGGGCAGCGGAGGCTGTAAGTTGGCTTCTGTTCCCACCTCCTAGGCATGGGCTGCGGGGGCTGCCAGGCAGGTGGGGAGGCCTTTGCTTCTCTCTGTGTGGCCGTCCTCACCGAGGACACCTTGAGCATCTAGAGGCACCCAGGCTGTGCCATGGCACCAGCCCACAGGGTAGGAGTCTTGTGGGCCAAGGTTCTGAGGCCCAGCCTTTGAGAGCTGCCCCCACAAGCTGTGTTCTGGCCTCGGCTGGCTGCATTGATCTGACTGCCCAGTGTGCACCCCCAGTGCTGCCCCACTGAGCAGGCCCCTAGTGTCCTGTGCCACAGCAGGGGCCTGCCTTCCCCAAACAAAGGCAGGCTGGGGCCTGGAACCTGCCTGGGACCTCTGGGGGTGCTCTGCCCAGCCTCACACTCAGAGTCCTGGTGATGGCCATGTCACCACCACAGTGGTGAGGCTGGGTCGGGGACAGCAGGCCAGGCAGCCATGGAGAGCCTCATGGGGCTGCCCAAGCTGGGCCTGAGGGGCACTACTTCCCAGGGGCTTTGCAGTGAGTCCCATCCAGTGGCAGCTCCTCTCCCATCCTGCTGAGACTCCTGGAGCTGTCCCCGGCACCCTGATGGCTGGATCCTACTGCCCCATGTGGCCTTGGCCTGGGCTGGGGCTGTAGCCTGGCAGCAGGCATGCTGCCCTGGCATTGGTGTGGGAGGTGGGGTGGGAGTGGGGGCTGCATGAGCTCAGGAGCATCTGGCCTTCTCCCTGACCTCTGTCCCTTCTCTTGGGACCCTCTCTCCAGCCTCCTGGACTCTGGGACCCCTGGGTCCTGGCTGGCTCTGGGCTGACCCATGTGGCCACTCCCTTGCCTGTTACCTCCCACCCTTCTGACGACCCTGCCGGGTCCCCTCAAGGCTGTTAGCTCCAGTCTCTACATGGGGCTCTGGAGGCTGCTTGGCTTCAGACCTTGGGGCTCCCAGGTGGGGCTGGGCCACGGGGCTCAGTTTCCCCAGGAGGTCACTCAGCAGGGACTGGTGATAGCAGGAGGTGCATGGGGTGGGATGTGGGGCCTCTGCTCACCCAGCACCTGGTGCAGCAGGGGACTGTTCCTCTGCCCCACATGGGTGTTGGCTGCTGAGGCCAGAGGCCCCACCCCGGGGGGACTCCCAGGCCAGGTGACGCTGGGTGCTCTGTGCCGCGGGCCCCAAACATCACCCCTGCTGTCCTGATGAGACACAGGGAGAGTGGGGAGCTGTCTGAGGGGAGCCCTTGTGGTGGTGGGCTAGCCTGCGCTCATGCTCCACCTGGCCCAGATGCAGGGTGTGACCCTCCAGAGCTGCTATGACATCATCCAGCAGTTTGAGCCCTGCCCGGAAAACAAGTGCAAGGGGGTGCTGGGCATCGACGGTGAGCAGGCTGGGCTGGGCAGGGTGGCTCGAGGCAGGCGTACCAGGCGGGGCTGACCCCTGGCCACGCTGCCACAGGCTTCACTAACTACACGCGGAGCCCTGCGGGTGACATCTTTAACCCCGAGCACCATGGCGTCCACCAGGACATGACGCAGCCCCTGAGCCACTATTTCATCACCTCGTCCCACAACACCTACCTCGTTGGGGACCAGCTCATGTCACAGTCGCGGGCCGACATGTACACGCGGGTCCTACAGGCTGGCTGCCGCTGTGTGGAGGGTGAGCACCCCTGGGAGGCCGTGCCCCTGCGTGTCCCTGAGGGAGGTGCGCCATGCTGGCTGACCGGGTCTGTGCCACAGTGGACTGCTGGGACGGGCCCGACGGGGAGCCCATTGTCCACCACGGCTACACGCTGACCTCCAAGATCCTCTTCAGAGATGTCATTGAGACCATCAACAAGTACGCCTTCCTGAAGAACAAGTGAGTGGCTGGGCCAGGGTCTGGGTCCCCCATCTTTCCTCCATGTCCCTGGCCGAAGGTGTGGCTTCATATCTGGGTTTCCTTTGAGGAGCGGGCAGGGGGTGCGGTGCGGCCACAGGACAGGGAGGGGAAGTGGAGTGTGCGGGAGCGGACACAGCAGATCAGCTGAGACCACGCAGGCACACAGGTCCGTGGCCTGGCCACACAGGCAGCGGTAATGCCGGCTTGGGCCCCCCAGAGCTTCAGTGGCCCCAGAACTAATTTCTTCCTGGAAGCCACTCTGTCCAGACTCAAGGTGCTGTCACTCAGCTGCAGCCACAGATGCCATTGAGGAAAATCCAATTTAGTTTCTGGAAATAGAAGGCCGCCTCCTTGCTGCTAGCGCTACCTCGGAGTCATGGCTAAACAAGGCTCACAGGCGGGGAAGGAGCTACTTGAGTGATTGATTTAGGAAATGGAAAGGGGCCCTCCTGGGAGAGAGCCGGCCCACGTCCAGCTGTGTGTGCAAGAGCGTGGGCAGCAAGGCCACTGTGGGCAGCCAGGCCCCAGGCTGCAGTGGGGAGGGTGGTGCAGGGTGGGATGCAGGGCCCTTGAGTCCTAGTGTCACTGAGGGGCCAAGTGTGGGCTCTTCCCTGGGCCTGGGAATCAGGGGCTGCCGCCTTCGCCCCATCCCGCCTCCCTCTCCACATCCCGCGGCTGCCCCCTCTGCTCTGGTGCATGCCCTCTTGGTCTGGGTCACCCACGTTTTCTAGAAGGGTCATGGCTGCCTTTCAGTAAAAACCAAAGCACAGTGTGCATGTGGTTAGGGATGAAGCCAAAGAGCTCACGCTGGGTGCCTGCCATGCTCCCCATCCCACACTGTGTGGGCCACGGCCCCTCCTGTCCGAGGGCCACACTGGGCTTGTGTCTTCTCTGTGCAGCCAGGTCTCTGGGTCTGGGAACAGGGATTGCATTCTCTTGTCTGCCTATTGCCGCTTTTTGACCAGAGCTATTTGCATTGGTTTTCCTGGATTTTCTAATTGCCTTTTTTTTTTTTTTTTTAAA